AGGGAAGAAGTTGAGTTGTATTCGTTTGAAGACGATGAAGAGGATGAAAATACCCCTAGTTAATATTTTTTTTCTATATGACCTTAGGATATTCTTTATCACCTTGGTATTCCTTTATTCAAGATTTGTTTGCGGCTTTCAAAAGAAAAAAAATAATTTATTTCCTCACAATTTTTGCTGGAGCCAATTCTGTTTAATTCTTTCTGTAAAGTTGGGCCGTAATCCTGGGGATTAATACCCCATTTTATTTACTGTTCACCAGGGAACGAGGTGGGAAGAAAAAGGCAAATTACAACAAAGAAAGAAATAGTAATAATTAGAGGACCTGCCCCCAGCACAATGGCCGATCTTCTAACGATGCAGCAAATCACAGAGCTAAAGGAGGCCTTTGCTGTGTTTGATAAGGACTCTGATGGAAGCATTACTGTGGAAGATCTTGGTGAGGTTTTTGAAGCCATCGGTCAGAAGGTTTCGCGGAAAAAGCTGCAGTTGATGATGGCCGAGGCAGATTTAGATGCCAATGGAGTAATTGATTTCCCGGAATTCCTCACACTGGTCGCCACCAAACTAAACGACCCAGAGGAAAAAGAGCTGGAATTGCGTAGAGCCTTTAGCATCTACGATCTCGGAAAGACGGGATTTATCAATGTTACCGATTTGAAATTTGTAATGGGCCGTTTAGGTTGCCCACTTTCGACGGAGCAGGCATTTGAGATGGTAAACGAGGCAGATATTGACGGTGATGGACGCCTAAGCTTTAATGAATTTCGTCGGGTGATGAATGAAGGATGGCCTTAAGGAGTGGGGGAAAACTCTCAAAATGTTGCTTTCCGTTGTAATGAATGGAATGGATGAATAAATGCCCCACATGTAAACAACAACAAAAAGTGTGAAGGAATATTTTTCTTCTGATCCTCCCATTTCTGTTTTTTCTTTTCCATGATAAATATTGATTGTTTTTCTTTTTTTTTGAATTATTATTATTTATTTATTTGTTTTGTTTAATTTATTTATTTATTTATTATTATTACTATTATTATTGTTATTTATCTTTTTTTTTTTGGTGGGGTTGAGGGGAAGACTGTATCGGGTGACCAGGCAAGAGGGCAAACGGAACAAACACAGAAACATACACACACACAAAAAAGGAAAACTAATATTTACATCTACATTAAAACAGAGAGCCGCTGGTAGGTAGTGGAGGGGAGCTTGGGGGTGATAATGATGATGCAATCGCTGCTTCACTACTCAGAGCAAAACGATGTGGATGACGATGGTGATTTTCCTCCATTGCTTCGCAGCGTGATTCGCCCCGCATCGCACTGCCCGTTATTTGATTTGAAAATTGAGGAAGAACACACATGGCCTTGCGCCAACTTGCTTAACGGCAACGCTCGCTACCGCGTTCAATACCAGAACGGAGCACATCTTGTAATGAGTGATAACCGTCTTCTTGTGGTTTGTAACAGTGAGCACTTTTATTGTCCGCCGTGGAATACCCCCATCCGTGATGCGTGCGTCCAACGGCAAGGGACAAACGGAAATTCCATTCTAGCGGTTGGTCTTGCAGATGGGCTGTATTTGGCGCTACTTCAGAGGAATCCACAGCTTCAAGTCACGGATGATGTTTTTGTCACAATGAAGCAATCAGTAGAAAAGATTGTCTTTTTACGTGACGGCGAAATGGCGCTCTGTTACGGGAATGCTCAAGTGGAAATTTATCGGATCAACACAGAAAATCTCCAGAAGGTGAGCCTTGTCTCAATACACAGAAATCACACGATAAATTTTTTTCAGGCTGTGGCATCTCTTTGGGACACAAGACGGTACCGCGACAGCGCATACGATTCTAGCAATGGGAGGATGTTCGTGTTGTCGGACATTGATCTTACACTGTGGGCCTATAAATCAACGGATGCATTTGTTGCAGTATGTTCTGTACGAATTCAAGGGAATGTAGTGGCTGTGCTTCCAAGTTCTCAATTGCATCGATATGCCATGCTCGTTTTCAATGATGGAGGGCGACAGCCTGTGATTTTTGAAGAAACATTTGCAAAGCGATCTGATGAGATCCGTACGGTGATTCGTTTGGGCGCTGTGCGTCCGTTGCCCGAAGATGTTCTTCTTGACACTGTTGAATTGGCGTGTCAGGATGCTGAGGGAAATACAATGTTGTATGACTCACGGAAATGCACATTGGTGATACTTACTGTCGGCTCGCCCATTTACGAGGATATTTTTGATGTAGTGGAAGTTGTATCCCCTCTTCGATTGAGTACTAGAGCCGTGGGAGTGGCGTGTGTCAGCGAGCTACAGGATCTCTCTGCGTCTTTTATTGTATATGGCAAAGGTGGGATTCTTTGTCGCATTGGCGTGCGATCCCTTGGCCACATGTTCTATGGTCTTTTGCAAAAACAGGGTTTAACTGACGTGATCCGCGCCTCGTTGCACAGGCTTGGGCCAAAGAGGGGAATAGAAGCATTGGTAGGGGCAGCATTTGCCGGTGCCTCGAAGGAAGTTTTGTCACCACTTTTACAAGAGTTTATGCAACCATCCTTTTGTGAAAATGAAATGCGTGTGGCTCCTGGAGTAAATGGAATCATTTCTCTTGTGAACCGCGAGATTACTTTGGCAGAGTGTTTGTGGAATGCACCATTCTCATGGCATCTGATACCTGACTTAGAACGTATTGCCTTCCAATTATGGGCGTGGCATGAAAAACTGGAGGCGCTGCTGCGTCCATATGGTTGGTTGGACTGCCCCAAGCAGCTAAATCTTTCTTGGAATGGTTTTGTGGCCACTTCCCACGACCACTTTACCATAAGAACGGCTCTTAATACGCAGGCCATGCTTCTGGAAACACTTTTAAAGGGACTGCGTGACGCCGGTGTATTGTGCTGGCTTTACAGCCTGTTATTGCGAGGGAAACCTGGTATAGATACTATGAGACAGAATAGACTGAAACCCATTGTATGGGGTGACGACCCAAGCACAACTATTACATCACTTTGTATGGAGACTCTCTCAACTGCTGATGGTTTTGTTATGTCTCAACTTGAGGATCGGAAGAACGTTCTCCCGATACGCGCCCGCCACGCCATAAGCATTCATCTTTGCATCTCAGGAAATCAACCTGATGCGGCATTGGCATATGCCTGTGATAATGTTCGATCGCTGCGCCATGAACAGGTATTTGAGTATGTGGCGGAAAAGCTAGAAGGCACATTTCCTGAGCGTATGCCGCACCTCCGGTTATTGTTGTGTTGGCTGAGATACAATCGGGGCGCCATTGTGGAACTGTTAGAGATGCTGGAGCGATACAGGATAAGTGAGTCGTCAGAACAGTTGAAACTACGTCTTGGAGTGGTCTTACAGGCTGTTACCGAGTATCCTGCACTCCAGCACGCTGTGGTCCGCTGGATGGTGAATTATCCCCTTGAGGATGACCGTGTGATGGGTTTTGCGGAGTTGCTAGAGGAACACTCTGTGGTTATTGATGAACCGCAAACTCTCACGGCTTTGTTTTTTGTTTCCTGGACTAACCGTAATCGGCGCCCCGCTTTGGCTGCGCGAGGATTTTGCGACATCGCAAGGGGCAGACGGCGGCTTGCGCTTCCCTCAAGAATTTTATGCATTAAGCTTGCATTAGAGTTTGGCCCAACCGTATCTGAACAGCTTGTCTATTTTGTTCTGCTATTGCAGGAGGAGTTGGCTGAAGCAATTGAAGCAGCGTGGCGTGGGGATGCAGCTCAATCTGATTCTTGGCGAGAAGGAAAGGTTGAGGCGGATGTGGATGAGTTGCGTCATTCTTATCTGGACGAGCGGCGACTCTTCCAGTTGGCAGGGGAGTACAAGGAGCAGGGTGGTGCGAAGGTTCAGTTGGACTTGCTGAAGGTGCACCCGGAGACACCAGAGAAGGTCACGATGGAGGTTTTGCACGACTTGCTCGAGTTTCTCATTAGAAAGGGCATGAGCGCCACGGAGGCAGCGAGGAATGTTGTGCGGGAATATTATGACGGTTATGCTGCCGGCTTGCCATTGTTGCCATTTGTTGCCCTTCTTGCCCAGCATGGGGTTTCGGCAGAGGAGATCGCTACGTTGCTGCAGTCAAGCGGGGTGCCCACGTACGCAGTGGTTGAATTCTTTTTCCACTTTCTGGATGAGCGTAACGAAGGATTGACCTTCAAAAAGGGGTCATTAGTGACGACACTGGCGGCGATGGTAGCTCAACTGTCTGGCGAGAGCAGGGACATCTGCACGGCATATCTGCTGGAGCGCATCCAAAACTTGCTGGCAGGCGAGCAAAAAGCAATGGCGGCAACAATAACGACGAATAAAATCCTACAGGAAAGTGACATTATGCAGCTGCAGCGTGCGGAATCCTTACTGAAGCGGCCACGCACTGTGTCTCCTCTATGATTTTGTCAGCGGGTGGCAATAAAAGCAACAAATACAGATTAAACAAATAAAAAGCTGAAAGAAAGGTGGGAGCAAAACAACAGCAATTGAGGGAGTAAACAAAAGATGGTTGTGAAGCGAGAGAGGTGAGCGTGTATACCACCGTTTCTCTGATTGGAAAGGCAAAAAGGAGGGGAAGGAAGTCAAAAAGAAAGAATAACAAAACAGAGGGATACTCAAATCCACATACCACGGCGGAGGAAAAGAGGTGAATGTACATGATCTGCAAACAAGAAGGAAAAAGAAAGAGTGTGGAAAACACTCTTGTCTTGCGTTTTTTCCCTTTTTTTGTTGTTGCTTTTCCACTCTTCATTCCAACCACTACGACCGCTGCTCCTGCTGCTGCTCATTGAGCTAAATCGTTGGAGTACGCGATGTGCTTCTATCCATCTGTTGCATTCATCATTTGCTTACCCCCCTTTTCTCCTTATACAATGCATGTGTTTGTTTTGGTTTTCTTTCTTTTTCTCTCTCATCTGTTTTTTTTTCTTTGCTTCACACTTTATTTTTCTCTCTTGGCGTTGGGTGAAGCCAGCCCCCTAATGCGCCGTACGACCGCCTTCTTGACTTCACAGCTGCTGAGCTTGGCTACCACCAAGATTGCTTCGACGGCGAGTGAGGGTACTAGTTTTGGCGGTCCTAATATTAGCAGAGGTGGTGGTCTATTCTTTGCTGATCGCGCTGTTAAGATGACGCGCTTGACTACACCAGGCTTCTCCTTGATTTGCAAACCTTCCATCCTGAGCTGTGAATCTCCTGACGCCACAGCGGCGGTGCGTCTGATAACGGAGGAGCCGGGCAAAGGGCCTTCTGCGAGGATACAACTGGTCGGCATGTGCACCGTCTCTTTTTTCCGGTCCCATCGAATCGTGTTTCATTGTACGGGGGAGCAGGGGCGCGTGCAACGCCATGAAATAGGTCTCAAGAATGGTGACGTTCTTGCCGTGCTCAGGGGATGTGATCTGATGCGGGATTGGAAATCCGTCGAGCGAACATTGCGTAGCGTCGCGGGTGAGGACCCTGAGTACATGGCAGAGGAGATATTGTTGAAGTTGGCATCAGACGCGAGGGCCACAACGAATGGAAATGCTCTGAATAATGCTGGTTCTAGTGTTATTGATGATGACGATAATATTAACACTAATGCCAGCGTGGATGGCAAAGAAGTCAGCACAAGTGACAGTAGTATGCCTAATGGGATATGCATCATGACGGTTGTGAGGAATAGGCCTTCCGAGGAGCTTCCGCAACCACCATCCTACTTGAACTGGTCGATGGCGTGTGGGGGAGAAAAACAAAACGGCAGCCAAAAAAAAGGCCGGGTGGGGGAGATGAAGCCGGAATTCGTGCAGCTGAGGTGAGGAGAGGGAAGCATGACAAGGAAGGAAAAAAAAACAAAAAAACCAAAAAAAAAAAAAAAAAGAAAAAAAAAAAAAAGAAAGAAAGACAGAAAGACAGAAAATACGTGTTAATTGCATGCAGGGTGGAGGAGGCGCCCCGTGCGAAAACGGAAAGAGAGAGTAATACGGAAGAAAAGGGAGGGGTGGAAGTCGAAAAAGAAAAAAAAAAAAAAAAAGAAAAAAAGAAATAAAATGTGGGAAATATTGAGTAAGTTGAATGAATTTTCCTTTTCCTTTTTTATTGCGCTGCTGGATTGTCACCAGTTTTTTTTCCCGCTTTGCTGTCTTTGGACTAAACACACCCCCCCAGAGAGAGAACGAGAGAACGAGAGCGGATGAGAGAGAATAATAATAACAAATCAAACCAAAAAAAAAAAAAAAAAGAGAGAAAACGACCGTTGATCATCAACAGGTGTTACTGCTGTTGGGGCACGGTACCTGTATTTTCCGACCGGTGAAAGAGGGATGTATGCGAATCATCATTTGTCTTTATTTTTTTGCGCTGACCTTCTTTTTCTTCATTTTATTGATGTTGATGTTGTTGTTATTCTCCTTTTTTTTTTTTTGTTGTTGTTGTTTGTATATATATATATATATGATTTTTTTTTTTTGTTTTGTGTACCCACGTCTTGCTTCACGGTTCTGCGTCTCAAGAAGACACGGAAATTCCCTTTCTCTTTTCCCCTCTTTTCCTTTTTTTTTTGTTTTGGATGTTGTTGCGGATCCATTTTTTTTTTCTTTTTTCTTTTTTCGTTGTTGTTGTTATTATTCTTCCTTGTATTATTTCTGCCCCACTCTAATTTCCCTTGCGAGTTGGGGAGAGAAGGGGAGAGGCATGAGGAAGCATGTGCGTGTGTGTGTGTGTGTGTGTGTGTTTGCCTTGCGGCATGTGGGCCCCTGTCAGCATCCCGGACCGGTGCGAGTTTGGGTCGGCACATGCGTGCAAGCAATACATGCATGCATGCACTGCGCGCGGTCCTCAAGGCCTTTTTTTCTCCTTTTTCCTTTCCCTTTATTTGACACTTGTCACAGAGCGTTTAAATCACACCGTTCATTGCATCCGGACCCCCTGTTACAGGCGAGGTTGTGGGAATATTTACCGTAATTGACCGCACCTCCTTTTTTTTTGTTTTGTTTTGTTTCGTCTGGATCGCGCCGTTATTACGAGGAAAAGAGGAACCTTGAAACAGAAAAACAACAACAACAAAAAAACAACAAATCTGTAGCCTGTCCGATGTATATGTATGACAAGTGTGCATCTTGCATACTTATGTGTATAAAACATGTATTTACATCCGCGTATTTATTTACGTGTGTGTGTGTGTGTGTGTGTGTGTGTGTGTACGTGCAGTTCTGATCTATTTGAGAGAAATAACGACTTTTGTTCACATATATATATATTATATATATATATATGTAAATAAAATAAAATAAATGTATCGCCGACAGCCGCATTTACGTCTATTTATATATTTTTATATATGTTCAAAAAGATCGGAACAACTAATCCTTTTCTTTTTTCCTTTTTTCTTTTGTCATTTTTTTTTTTTTTTTAATATAATTCTTCTTGTGTCTTTTCATTATTATTATTATTATTATTATTGTTATTATTGTTATTGTTGTTGTTGTTAAATCCGGGTTTCATATTGCTGTACAACTTTCCAAAAAGAAACCGTGAGCGTCGTTGAGTGGAGTGCGAGCGGGAAAGAAGTGAAGTTATGCTGCATCTGAATCATGGCAAAAAGAGAGAGGGAGAGAAGGAAAAAAAAAAAAAAAAAGAAAAAACAGAACCCAAACCTGTTTAATAATGCAAATAATGTGCGGGGTGAAGGAGAAATGAAATTATATATTTGTACAAATATAACATATATGTACAAATACACTGACAGAAGTGCTTTCCGTGTGATATTCCCCCGCCAAAATAAATAAATATATAAATATATATAAATATATTTATTTAGAAACGGGGCATATATATATATATATATATACACACACAGAATGTATATGTTATATGTACATGCTGTTTTATATACGGTGGCCTTCATTGTTGGTAAAAACTGAGGGAATGAAAAAGAAATAAATAGAGAGAGAGAGAGAGAGAAGGGACTGAGAGTAAAAACTGGGGATAGTTTTAACTCTATTATTATTATTATTATTATATATTTATACGTGTATATGATGATGTCTCCTTGATTTTAAATATTGTCAATTCCCCGCTCTGTTTTGCTTCCGCGTGTGATTTGCCTCGAATCCAGCATGTACCACTCGTGTTTTTTTTTTTTTTTTTTTTGTTTTGTTTTCAATGGTACAAACACACAGTGAATGAAAACGATATTTATTTATTTTGTATTTTTTTTTTTCTTTTCTTTTTTTTCAGACTCCATCCGTGACGAAGTGATATGAGAAATTAGACGGGAGGAGGGGGCTCACGCATAACTGACGTCCCCTTTCCTCAGTTACTCTCTGCATATTTGTACTTATTTTAATTGCTGCCGTACACTACGAAAAAATCGGTCAAGGAAAAAATGTTTTTTCTTTTTTTTTTTTTTTTTGTTGTTGTTTTTGTTGAGATTTAAATTTTCTTCCTTCCTTCTTTTCTGTAGGCGCGTGTCTTTGATAAAATTTGCGCCGCGAAATGTACATGTGGCGCAGATGGCACATATTCGATACAAAGAAATTTATTATTATTATTTTTTTCTTGTGTTTGTGTGTGTGTATGTGCACGTTTACGCGCCTATTCCGCGCATAATCTTTTTGCTAGTACAAATGGGTGTGGGGACCGGGGCACGGTGAATGCATATTTGTATCCCTGACCGTATGTGATTCTCTACCGTTGCTGCCTTTGCTGAGGAAATGTACGCGGCATCACACCAGACGGCTACCAAAAAAAAAAATGAATAGTGAAATTAAATGAAGGAATTGGTTAAAAGGTTCAGAAAAAGAGGAAGAAAAAAAGAAAACAACAAAAAGGAATGAGGCTTTCCCACCCAAATTTGCAGGAGAAATGCAATGAAAGAGGAGTGATGACACTGACGTGATTTGGACAGAGGGTGCGGTTGAGCCATCATGAATCCTTTTTTTTTCTGTTGTTGTTGTTGTTCTTTCTTTATGGTTGGGTTCCTTTACCCCTTTTTTTAGATTTGTTGTTAACTTCCTTCACCGCTATTCACGCGAGGAAGATCGCACCGCTGCTGCTTGGGTGTGTGCGTGTGTGCATGCGGACCTTGGCTGGTAGATTTCTTTCTTTCTTTTTTTTTCTTTCCTTCTTTTTGCTTCTTTGGCACCGTGCGGGGAGGCCATCCAAGTGGTGTTGCGGGTGACGTGTGTGTGTGTGTGTGTGTGCGGGAGGAGAAGTGCGCGTGCTGGCAAAGGGAAAGAGAGGGGGGAGAGAAATAAATATTGAAGAGGCTGGCGAGGCGGAGGACAAGGCGGATTTGTTTCTCAACGCGGCGCACACACTCCTGCAGGAGGGGGGAGGGGTGGGGATTAGATAACTGCCGAATACATAAGATATTCCTTGGCGTCAAGTCATTACAGTTGCAGGGGATCAAAAAAAAAAAAAAAGAAAAAAAAAGAGGGGGGAGGGGGAAGGAAAAAAGGGAAGACCGTCAACCCTTTCCTTCTTTCCCTTCCGCAAAAAAAACAACAACAACAAAAACAAAAGGGGTGCGAGTGGATAAGAAATTGATAAAAAGAAGTACTGCGTGTGTCAGTCTTCATGGCGTCCGTCTACCACCGCAAGATCACAATTAGCGCGGGTGAGGAGTGTACCATCAGCGGTAGTGGTGCCATTGAACTGCAGTTGCTCTCTGGAGTTGTGGACGTGGCTGGTGTTCTGCTGAAGGCAAAGGAAACACATGTTTTTTTCTTGGAGGCAGACAAACGCTGTGTCATTCTGTACACTTTGGAAGGAGGATCCGTTCAGGCCACGGCGGGCTTTCCATTTGAAACCTTAAAGACGGCAACTGGCATGGCTTCTGTTGTGCAGCTTTGCCGTCGCAGCCTGTCTGCGGAGCGTCGCACGAAGGTGCTTGTGATTGGGAAGAGCCACAGTGGGAAGACGCTGACAGCACACACCATTTGTAACTTGCTGCGGGAAGACTCCGCAGGAGAGTTGACAACTGCTCCTGCTGCAGCTGTGTTTTTGATGGATCTTAATCCCGAGTCGAACTGTCTTTATGCCCCTGGGTGTGTCTCAGCTGTGCAGGTGGAGCATATGCTTTGGCCGGGCACAACGTCGGCGCCGACTTTACTTCCCTTTTCTTTCTTTATTGGGGAGGCCACCCCACCGTCAGCGGAAAACATATTACCTTTTCTGCATTTTGTTGAGCAATTGCAGGAATGCACGGAGTCACTGTTGAAATGGGGTGAATCACGAACGAGTTCATCTTGTTATCGACGCACCAGCGCCTGCTTCTGGCATCAAGGAGAGCGTGTATTTCCGCAAGGTTATTGAATTGCTGCGCCCCACTCATGTCGTGACGGTCAGCCCACAGGATGGGTCGGAGACGTGGTCCACGTTTCTTCAAGAAGATGTACAGCGTGTTCTTCCAGATTGCGAGTTCTCACACGTTTCTCCGGTAGTGCGGAGGTGCACTACTTCTCTCCGCGAACAGCATCTGCGTGAATACTTTGCCGGCACCCCACAGTTCCCACTTGGGTGTGCCAAAGTAGTGCTGCCGCTCACACAGCTGCAGTTTGTTCAGTACGAGGCACACGGTGTGGATGAAGAGGTGGCGGTGTCGTGTCGCAAGGTGGCGATGACCCCAACTTTTGTCGGGTGTATTTGTGCCCTCTCGCACGCGGAGATGATAGAGGAGGTGCCGTTGGCGCCGGTCGCCGGTCTGCTCCTTGTCGTTGCGGTGGACGAGGAGCATGAGGAGCTTGTTGCGATTGTTCCCGCCTGCGATGACTTGCCGCGTCGCATTGTGATTGTGCCGAACGAGACTAGAGCGGCC